GGGGGGAGATCTGCCCATTGGCCCTAGCAGCAGAAGGACCCCGAAGCCTGCCGTAATCCAAGCCGGCAAAGTAGCCGCACGGCACGTTCCTGAGGGCCGTAAACTTGACGCGGGCCCACGAGCCCTTGCATGTGATGCCCCTGGGGGTCCCGCCTGTGGGACGCCCCCCTCCCCTGACCGTACAACATGCCTGCTTACGGTGCACCTGAGCCCGGTCAAACGACTCGGGGCGGCCCCGAATGCTGGTTTTCGCGGGGCCGCCCAGGGTGCGCAATAAAAAATGCCAACCATGCCTGTAGCCCCGCTCCCACCCCCTCGGGGCAGAAGGTGGGACAGCTGGGTCCGGGCAAGAGGGCCCTCGGATGCCGGCAAGAAGTGGATGCCCGTATACGGGCGAAAGGTCGACCGCCTTTCTCCCCGCAGAGCACACGGCTGTTGCCACCCTCGGGGGAGCATTTTCAAAGGCATGAGCGGCTCACGCATCGCCCCATGGTCGAAGCGATCATTCTGAAAGGACCTCGAGAAGCCACGCGTTGCTTGAAGCAGTCCCCCCCCCCACCCCCGGCCCAAGCAGGCATCCACAGCTCGTGCGCAACGCCATGAAACCCTATTTGCACAGATGCCCCGGCGATGCGCCATCCGGAGCCTCGGAACACGCTGGCTTCGCATGGACAAACCAAGCGAAGGGAACGAACTGACAAAAGCTTCCCACATGCTGGGCGGGAGGAAGAGGCGAAGCCCACTTCAAAAACCGCCAGCCCCCTGGCCCTCGCTGAGAGGGCCCTTTTTTCTTCCAATGACCCAGCCCCGCCGTGGCTTTAACTCCCCTTCGCGGGACCGAAACCCACCGGGCCTGCGGAGCATGACACAAAGGTGGATTTTGCCGGGCCCTCTCGCATCTCCCACTGACAAGTATCTTGCACGCTTGCTGGCGACCTGGGCAGACATTCGGCGCCGGCTCGTCCCAGTTGGTGAGAACTCCCGGGCTCACCTGCTCAAGTCCCTGTCCGGCGGGGACAGTCCTCTTCATGGTGGCACAGTGGGGGAAGGAAGAGCTCCAGACGTGTCTGCTCTTGCATAATTGCACGCTGATGCGTGCTCAAATCCATGCCTTCTAGGAGATGCTCATATAAATACCTGGATGTGATGTACCCGCCACACTGTGCACCGAAGCCAGATCAGCGCGGGGAATTCGCCAGCTTTCCAACTGCCCCATGGGCAGATGATGAAGCCATCCTCGCGGGTCCGGCCTTTACCAACCTTCGGCATAGTTTTGAGCCCACCTCAAATGTCACCCAGCATGAGGGGCTCGCGAGAGGCCAGCAGGAGCATCGCGCGAGGAGCATGGCCTCTGGTGGCTCTCGCTGGAGCAAGCCGAACACCGCACCCGGGCTCCAAGGCGAACGAGCGCTTCGAGGGAGGCCTCCCAGAAGGTGATTGCATGCGCCGAGGGGCCGGCAGGTCGGCAGGGAGATTCAGCAAACTGACTTTCAGCCAGCGAGGCAGGACCCCAAGCAAGAGGCTCCAAACGCCGGACAGAAGGTCCGGGTCCTGTCGTTTGTGAGTTTGATTGTGGACTTTACATGGCATGATCTTTGACATTGTGGTCTAAGCTGTGGTCATATGATAAACCGGTCATAGGCCCTATGCACCACAGGGGCATGTGATTGAAAATGTACATTGCCCCTCCAGAGCGGCGTTGACAACAATTGACAAGGTGCCCTGGAGCCGCACCCGCCGCCCAGATGCAGCAACACTCGGTCAGGACTCCAGCCCCCCCCCCCCCCCCCACCCACACACACACTCGGAATGAAAAAAAAGCCCGCTCGCGAGGGGCATGCGGAGAGAAGACCGAGCGGCTCATGCATGCCCTAGCTAGAGCGAGCCGAATGCCCGCCTCGACTCCGCCTCCAGTGTGGCAAGGGGAAACAGGGTCAGAGAGACACACCCAACGATAGCGGTGATCAAAAAAGACGCCCTGGCGTGTCATCGGGCCAACGGCAGGATGGCGGCTTGCGGGGAGAGGCCTCGGTCACTGTTGGCATCAGGGGGGGACGCGCAAGTCAGAGGGCGCTTTCTCCCAGTGAGAATACACTTTCGCTCCCCCTTCCCACTGTCCTTGACCCCCCCCCCCCCCCCCCCAACATCCCCACCCCTGGTGTATCTCGTCACCCGCCAGACAACCGTGCCAGTGTGGGGGACGCGGGAGGGGGACCCCGCCGGCTGCGGGGGGGGGGGGGGGGAGGTATCGGCTACCACACGCGATCCAGGATGCATGCCAGCAACATGGTAACATCTTTACTTTCCTCTTCCATCACCAGAGGATGGGGGGGCGACTTGCCCAAGGGGAGAAGGCCCTCGAAACTTTTCATGTGAAAAAAGCCCGCCTTTCGAGGCTTCCCTGCCCGGCCAGGCACCGATCACATAGCCACCCTCCCCATTCATCCCTCCCTCGCTTGCATCCACACGCACGCACACACACACACACACACCACACACACTCGCTCCTTGCCCCTTCCTTCCTTTCCTGAGCCCATCGCCTCTGCTCTAGCCCCCGTTCGAGAAGATGTCCCTCTACACCCTTGTGTTCGGCATCCTGGTCATGGAGGTGGTTGCCTTCCTCCTGCTGATGCTGCCTTTCTCCCCGGCCTTGTGCGTTCCCATTAGATTGGAAAGAATCTCCCCTCCCCTCCCCTCCCCCCCCCCCTTTGGTGCCCTCCTGCCCGGACGATGGCCCGACTGACAAATCTCCATCCTCAGCCGGAAGAAGGTCGTTTCGCTCATCGCCAACTCCCCGTTCGCCGCAAAGCTCAAGATCGGTGTCCAGGTGGTGTTTGTCCTGGTCACTCTTCTCTTCCTCGGTACGCTCGGGAGCTCGGCCTCACCCAGGGGAAAGAGCTTTCATTGTGCTCCCGCCCCTCCCCTCGCCCGTCACACAAGCCTCCCTTGTTGAGCCATGCGGGGCCGGTGTTGCTTTTGACATGCCTCTGACCTGTGTGCTCTATCCTGCGCATTCCCTCGCTGATCCTCTTCCAGAGTCCATCAGCCGCATGTATCGCCTGGAGAATGAAATCTCCCAGCAGCAGGCCGTCTACAACAAGGGCACCGCCCTGATCGACCCCTTCATGAACCTCTACACCTCGAAGTTTTACGCCGAGCGCAATGTCTACCTGACTGGCATCACTCTCTTCCTGGCCTTGTACGTCCTGCCAGCCCCGAGCACCATGTTCGCAATGGGCCACGTGCCTTCCTCGGGAGAACCCACCTCTGACCACGACTCTGCTGGCCGGCCTCCCTGGTCCACCATCAACAGTGTCCTCCACCGCTTCCAGGCCGTGCTTCTGGAGATCTCCACCTCGGAGGCCAAGCTTGCTGTCCTGCACAAGCAGTATCTCAACTCCGAGAAGGTGCACCTTTCCCCCATGCTCCCCCTCGCCCCTCTCTCTCTCTGCCTTTCGCTGCAAGACTGCCCAAACTGCCAGCTGTTGTGCCCGCAGAAACTGACAGGTCCCCCACCTCCCACCGACGTTTACTTGCGCAAACCATGCACACAGGAGTACAAGCGCATGATCGATGAGTCCGGCTCCTCCTCCTCCTCCATCAAGGTCCGTATCCGAGCTGCCTGTCCGGCACCGGGAAGAAGGCCGACACATTTGCTGCCCACCTCGTGCGGCTTGCCTCCTCCCATGTCCGGCTGAGCCACCTCCCACCTCAGCCCTGCTCACCTTAGTTCGCCTCATTTTGTCTCTTGCCCCCTCCCCCGCCCCCCCCCCCTCCCTTGCCCATATCTCTTCATGCGCGCGATATCCCCTTCCACCTGCCTCATGAACTCCCCTCCGCGCGCGACCCCTTCTCGTCCTCGGCGCAACCCGTATGTGTCTGTTCGCTCTCCGCCCCCCCTGCGTATCTTCGTGCAGGAGCTGAACAAGACCATTGCCGACCTCGAGAAGGAGGTACGCTCTTCGCCCTCCGGCTTGTGCTTCACACGGCCTCCTACACACTCCCACGCTCATGAATATTTGCACACACGTCTGCCTGCTGGCTCGCACGCGCACCCTCCGCGTGCTGTCTCCCCCCCCCCCTCCCCTCAGATAACCGCGCATCATTGGCACTAACAGGTCACCGCCGTAACACACCCCACCTCTCGCCCTCCCGCCCCCCCCCCTCCCCATGGCTGGCTAAAGGTCACCTCCCTGAAGAAGAACAACACCGCCCTCGAGACCCAGGCCAAGAACCAGAACGCCACCTTTGTCAGTCTCATGGATGAGCGCGACAAGCTCGAGCGCATGGTCAACCAGCAGCGCGGCGTCGTGGAGAACAAGAAGGATCTCTGAACGCGCATACTAATGCGCGCATTTCCTGCATGAATGTCATCCGGTCCGAGTGACCCCCCGGGATGCCTCCTCACCCGGTGGCGCGTGTCAGAATGCCACAGCGCACCGTCGCGCACTGGCCAAGGTCACTGTCCCATCTCTCTGCCCTCCTTTCTCCGTCCCCCTCCCTCGGTCCTCTCCATGGCTCCAACACACCTGTGCAAATGGAGCCCAAGTCCAGGTCAGAGGCGTGTGGTGGATAGAGAGAGAGAGAGAGAATATACATCCATGTTTGACAGGGGAGGCTTTCTGGTTGGATAGGAGGAGGTGGTGAAAGGAAGAGCGCGATGGATGTGCACATCAAGACACAAGGACGGGGCAATTAGGTGAGGGGGGGAATGAAAGGTGTATTCAGAAGACTGTGAAAGAGGCCCTCCGGGTGAAAGAGCCATCCGTGGGAAGGGGGGGGGGGGCAGCCAGCTGGGAAGAGAAGTGCCCTGGGAGAAAGAGGGCATGTGGGCGATGGGGGGGGGGGAGTAAACAAATGCCTTAGTTGCCATCGCTCGGCCGAGAACACGCCGGCCCCGGGGCTCCCCCCAGAGTGGCACGGTAGTCCTTCATCATCTGAGAAACCATCGAGTCACAAAGCTTGGCGATCGGGTGGAGCTTGGCGGCCTCGCGCTTGGCGAACTCGCTCCCCAGAGCGGCAGCCCGCTCGAAGTCCACTCGTGCCAGCTCGTCTGCCTCCTCGGACGCGCCGCCGAGGAACCGCCGAAGCATCGCGCGCTGAGTGAAGGCCGCCGCGAGGACCTTCTTGCGGTCCTCGGCCTGGATAAGCACCGGCGTCCCCGAAGCGCCCTTGGTCAAAAGCTCAATGGCCAAATCCAGGGCACCCATGGCGTCCTCCTCGCGCCGGAGAAGACGATAGGTTTGAGCCCTGCGAGTGGAAGAGAATCAAGGGACCGGGGAAGAGGGAGGTTAGAGGGAGAAATGATGGCGTGAAAAGGGCGGGGACGGGCAGAGGAAGGTCACGAACAGGTCGTTAAAAGCCCCGGCAAAGGTCGGGTGCTCCTGCGTCAGGGCAACCAGCTGGGGGAGGGCCTCATCAAGCTTGCCAGAGGCGGCCAGGGAAATGATGCGCAGGTGCTTGTCCTTCACCTCGGCGGGGATGGGGGCCATCTCGAAATCAACGGCATCAAGGTCGTTGGCAGAAGCAGCCGGCGTCGAGGCCGGGTCTGGCAAGGTGACATACACACACACACGCGCGTGTACACACACATTCCGTTGGGGAGGAGGGGGCGGCAAGGGAGAAGGCAATGTGAGTGCGCAAATACACACAGGGAGAGCCGGAAGGGAGAAACCCAAAGACAGAAGGCGGATGTCGCAAAAGCAGGTGCGTACCCTCATCGAAGACAATGCTCAGGATCTGATCGTCCGTCAGGTTAGGGCGGTCGCTGGCCATGGTGATAAAAGGGGGATGTGGGGGGGGGGGAGGGGGGAGAAACGAAGGAGGGAAGTTGGTGGTAGGAAAGCGGGGAGGGTGAGGGGCTTAGTGGGGGAGGGATTTTATCTGCCGCCTCCATTCGGTCGCTTAAGGCACGGATAACATCTCCCCACCGTGCCCCGGAGCCGCCAAGTCCACGACCATCAACGCATCCCGCCTAGCCGTGTGATGCAGAGACTACGTTGGGGTGCTTCCTGGCACCTGCAAGGCAATCTCAGGTCCGCTCCTGCCCCAACAGGGGGGCATGGATTATCCAGGACGCAGACGCCCATGGATCGGGGGGATAACACCGGGGGAGCGAGCCTCCAACTCCTCGCCCCCCAGCGGCGCTTACACCATTCATGATTGCCCTGGTCGATCAGTCACCAAACAGGCGTGATTCGTGTGGTGGGATCTGATGATGGAGAACACCCACGGCCAATCTTACGCATGAGAGGGCGGAAATGGGCGGAAATGCCCCCCCCCCCTCAGTTGCTCTGGCCAGCCAACGGGGGCGGACTGCCAGGCCTTGGATCTTTAGAGGGCCCCGCCCTCGTCGCCCCCCCCCCCCCCCCCCCCCTGGGCCTTCTCTCAGAAACGCCACCGGCCGTCTGGGCCACTGGGGCCACTTCGGTCCTTGACCAATCCCCACACTTTCCAAATAGGGGGGCTGGGATAGGGGGCAGGCCGGGGGTAGAGAGAAAGACCTCGGCACGCGTGCTGGTGTGAGGCTCAAACACGTAGGATGGTGAGCCAGACGAAGCGGAGAAGACTCCAGAGTGGCAGAGAGAGGCAGAGAGAGGCAGAGAGGGAGAGAGAGAGAGAGACAGAACATCTCTGTATGGCTGTGGGAGCAGCCCACAAGCGCAATATCGTCCCGAGCGAGTATACAGGATTCAGCTCCAACACCGTCCCTGCCTGGAGGTCGGTGAGGTGCATGTCACCCCTGGCACTCTCTGTCACGCTCCCTTTTTTCCGCACTCTGTCTCTCACGCACCGCGGCAAATGGCGGCCCTGACCCGAGGTCCGACACCAGTGCTGCTCGCTCTGCTTTCCTCCCGCCCCTCCATTCCCCCGTCGGTTTGGCTCTTCCTCGCCCGATTACTCGCGCTTGAGAGTTTGGGATGCCGGGATTTTTCTGCGGTGGCACCATCGCCCGAGGCCCTCGGGCCCGAGGGGAACAGACACAACGGCACCCTGCGCCTTCCCTCCCCCCTGGCTCTCTCTCTCTCTCTCCCTCCCTCCCCTTTCGCGACCCTCCCGGCCCTCTCCTCCCTTCCCCACCCGCCACCTCCATTGCCCACCCCTGGTACATCCCCCCCTCCCCTCCTCCCCTCCTCGCCCCCTCTCGTACATACTCCCCTCACCATGGTGCTCCTGGATCAAGGGCTGCCGTGAGAGTGTCACCTCTCCTCCTCATGTGCAGGGGTCTGCCCCAGGTCTCGCCACCTGCGCTGCTGTCGCGGCCTCCACTGCCGCTGGCGCGGACGGATGACCCACTTGCAGCCTGTGGGGCGGCAATTGGCTGACCCCCGCCGCAGCCAGTCGCACATAGCACCATGGCTTGGGTCGCATACCCCAGCCAACCATTTCCCCATTCTAACTGCGATTGTCCCTGGCATCCCACCTCCGGGCATTGTCCCTCTTTTGCACAGCGCGCCCAGTCGCCCTTTTCTCCCATTTCTACGTCAACATGGTACGCCCATAGCATGTGCCATCCATCCAACTTGGCATCCACACCCCCATGACTGGCCCCTTCTTTCTGCTGACCCTCTCACCCTCCCTTTGAATGCTGTCCCTCGTGCCATGCAGATGCAATTTTTCCTCCTCATCAATCGCCAGGGCAAGGTTCGCCTGGCCAAGTGGTTCGTGCCGACCCCGACCTCCGAGAAGAACAAGATTGCCCGCGAGGTCGCGCAGCTTGTCCTGAGCCGGCGTAACAAGATGTGCAACTTCATCGACTGGAAGGGTACGGGCTTGCACACACACACACACACACAGACACAGACATGGGCATTCTCGTGCCACGATGTGCCCCACACGTGCTGATTACCACTGCCGTCCCCCCCCCCCCCCCCCCCCTCTGCACATGCAAACACACGCACACACGTGCCCTCTTTTCCTGCTCTCTCCTCTCCGACACTCAGATCGCAAGATTGTCTACCGTCGCTATGCCTCCCTTTACTTCATCACCACCGTCGACAACGACGACAACGAGCTGTATGCCCTGGAGGCCATCCACCAGTATGTCGAGGTTCTCGACCGCTACTTCGGCAACGTGCGTGCCTCTTCCCCCTTCGGTCCCGTCTCCTACTTTGCTTCTCCCGGTCTGACACAAATCACCACGCCCGACCTTGCCACCCTGTGCCGCCATTCCCCCTCCCCCGGCCGTCCATACACAGGTGTGCGAGCTCGATCTCATCTTCAACTTCCACAAGGCCTACTTTGTCCTTGATGAGGTTCTCCTCGGCGGTGAGCTCCAGGAGTCCTCCAAGAAGGCAATCCTCAAGAGTGTCGCTCAGCAGGATAATCTCATGGAGAGTCCCGAGCACGCCCCCATCTCTGAGATCTGAGAGTCTCCCTCTCCTCTCCTCCCTTTCTCTTGGCCAGGCCCGGCACATAGTTTCCGCCCGAAATGCACCTTCCCCCTTGTACTTGCCATCAACCTGCCTGGGTCGGGCTCTCCCCATCCCGGTCGACTGTGCATCCCTTCACAACTATACAAACACAAAACCATGCAATCCGGAAGTGTGTCCCAACCAGAGTAACCCCAGTCCAAACCGCCCTCTGGCCGAGGTGCCCTCTCGCCCATGCTGAATAACCCCCGTCCACACACACACACACACGCACGCGCGTACGCACGCGCGCGCGCACACTACGATGGCTCCCCCACCCTGCTGGAGAGACAGGCATAGGGAAGAAAGGAAAATGAAACCCCTCGTAGGAGACCACCCGGAATAGCATCCCTCTCCGACACACGTTGCCGCCATCAGGCAATAAGAAGGGTAGGAGCAGGGGCAATCTGTCCCATTCATAGGAGAGAGAGAGAGAGAGCCCTGCCACCATTTCGGCGTGCACCCACAGATGGGGGGCTGGCGCGTCTTCCCCGTTCATGCGTGTGTCCGAGAGGGACACAGAGGGGGGAGGGAGGGAGAAATGGACCCCAATGCTGGACGGCGGCGGCTTGCTTTACCTCCCGCTCAGTGGGTCGCAGCAGATGACAGGCTGGCCGGGGAAATGCCGCTGCGAGATAAGGAAGCTCGCAGCAGGTGCCGACACCTCAAACGGGCTAGCAGCAGGGACCAAACGGCACCGCTAACCTGTGCGAAGCCTTTCACATATGATGGCCTGAGGGACTGCCAGCAAGATCACAACTACCCGCCCCTCATCGGACATCAGCGGGTGCATCATGTAAAAATGGCACAGCGCCCCGAAGGTGTAGCACCTCTCCGCTCCTGGCGCGACAAAAAAAAAGGAACAAGGAAGGCCAGCCACGCGCAGACGAATAGAAAGTAGGGGATGAAAGTAGGGAGAGAAAGGAGGGGGAGAGGGAAAGGCACTGAGGGGAGAACTGGCGGGGAAAGGGAGCGGGAGGGGAGGCCATCACACCTGAAAAAGCACCCCTGTCTCCCGGCGCCCACCTCCCGGCGCCATGAAAAAAGCATGCCAGGTCCTCCCCTGTGCCCTCCTCTCTTTCCGCCACGCGCGTCGCCCCCATACACAAACACCACTTCCCACAGCATCCCCTCTCCTATCACAAGACACCAGACACGAAGAAGAAGGAAAAACGTGAGAAAATCTGGATCAACTGGTATATTATTGAGACAACAAGGATGCCTGCCATCAAAACAACGACGAAGCTGAGACCGCTCCAGTCCCACCCCCGAGGGGGGAAAGAGAAAGCAAGTGCGTGTGGCAGGCAGGAAATCCATCTACGGCAAAGCGCGCGCAGAGGGGGACATCGCGCGAGGGGAAGCACGCAGGGGGGGGGGGCGGCGCAGTGACGCATCCTCCCATCCACGTGTGTTGCCCCCTCTCGCGCGTTGCGGCGGCCATATGCAAAGCAAGCACACAGGGCCTCTCATCTCGAGGGGAGGAGAAAGATGACATGCGCGTGTCAAAGGGGAGCAATTTTCATGCACATGTCAACACCGGAGGGTGTGGGGGGGGAAAGGGGGGGCGAAGACATTTAGTAGTCATCCTCCTCCTCGCCACCGCCAGCAGCGCGGCGAGCCTGCTTGCGGGCAACGCGGCCGGGGCGGCCACCGTTGTACGGGGAGGTGAAGGAGATCTCAATGTGCTTCTGGGAGTCCAGGCGGACCATGAAGGAAGGAACAGTGACGACCTGCTTGCCGACACTGTCAACACGCGAGCAGGGACGGACAAGAGGCGGGGGAGGAGGGGGCCGGGGGGGACGGGGGCTGGTCAGCTACGAGGTGTGTAGTAGGCTCTCTCGCCGGCCCCGAAGGAGGGACTGTATATACGGAGGAGGAGCTCTGGGCGCCCGAGGCGCAACGGTTGAGGGGGCGATAGGGGATCATACCGGATGTGACGCTGGAGGATCAGGACACGAGCGTGGTGGATGGACTTGGCGAGACCCTTCTTGAAGACCTGAGTCTGGAGGCGACGCTCAAGGAAGTCGTGGTGGGTGAGGGCCAGGACGTAATCCAGGCGGTTCTTGTCCTCAGGCAGGACACCGAGGCGGATCAGGCGACGGATGAGGGCGTTACCCTCGAACAGACGGCGCGGGTCGGAGGGGTCCAGGGTGAGGAGCTCACGAGCAGCCTTGCGGACCTTGGACAGGGTGTAGTTGACGCGCCAGACCTGTGGGACGATGCGGCGCAGCGAGCAGCGACAAATTAGAGCGAGGATAAATGGGAACAAGCACCGGCGTGTGAGTGGACGGAGGGGGAGGAGGAGGAGGAGGAGAAATTGGCGGGGGCTTGGGGCATTCACGCTGCAGGAAAGAAAAAGACCAAAGACCGGGTCTTCACACATGCGGCCACGCGCCACACGCCTGGCAGAGGCAGCAGAGCGGCATCGCCGGGGAGCGACAAAAAACCGGAACAAGGAGAGGCAAGGAAGAGAAAGCACAGACAAGGGGGAAAGGACGGACCTCATGCTTGTTCTTGAGACCGAACTCACCGCAGAGCTTGAGCTCCTGGTCGATGCGCTCCTTCTCGAAGGGGCGGCGGGGGACGGTGTAGGTCTTGGAGTAGTTGGGCTGAACCATGGTGGCGTTCGCAGTACTTGATCAGTGGAGGAGAATCAAAAGTAACAAGCGTTGAGACGGGACCCTCGGGAGGAGTGCGAACGCGGGAGTGCCTCATCAACCTCCCCCCCCCCCCCCCCGTTTTCCCCCCCCCCCCCCAGTCCCTCCCCCCCCCCCCCCCCTCCGCCCACCCCCCGGCCCCCAGGAAGAAAGAGCGCACACATGGCCCGCCCCAAGGAGGCGCGTTCACCGGTCGGGCCGTCCGGGCCACGGGTCCCCTCCTCAGTTCCCCCGCCCTCAGGCCCCGCCCCCCGCCCCCCGCCCCCCCGGCCACTCACTCGGACGGACAAAGAGGACCCGTTGCCCCACACAGACGCCCTGGCTAGGCCAGCTGGCTCGGGAGTGGGGGGGGGCACGTTCCCATGCGAAAACGGCTCGCAAGCCGAGGGAGGAACGAAGAAAATACCACACACTACGCAACAGGCGACCCACACTGCTCGGCACCCTTCGGCAAGCAACCGTGAAAGGGACAACATGCGCCCGATATGGGGCGAAGGCGAGGGGGGGGGGGGGGGACGGAAGTAACGGGGGGGCACACGGGGGTGCCGCATCCGCGTCCGTCCGTGTGTCCGGAGCCAAGACCGCGGACGGAGACCGACTGGCCAGCTTCCGCAGGAGAGACATACCAGGGAGAAAGGCGGCAGCATGGTCCGCCCCGTCATGCCACCTTCTGCCAGCCGGAAGCCGAGCGGGCTCCTGCGCCGGAGGCAGCGCGACGCGATACACAAACCCCATCCCCCTCGGCCAAAAGGAACCACAACCCCTGAGAAACCCTGCCCAGCCGACCGCCACTCCGGCAGGGCTCGCCCATGCGGAAGCGCAGGCACGCTCGAATGCCAAGTAAGCCTCATGCGGGACTGGGTTCCCTGCCCCCAAAGCTCCTGGGGTAAACCCTCGAAATGCTATAATGTCAACCCGAGAGAATGTCTTTTCGGCCCCGCAGCAGGGGCCAGGGAGCCAGAACGGTCCAACCGACCAAAGGAGATTACGCCCCCGCATGGACGGCACCCGAAGCGGGTTTTCCTTTCGCCGGCCTAGATCAACCGGGCCTCGATATATTTGAATCATTACAATACACCTGGTTTTTGAACACCACTCAGCAACGGGGCACCCACTCTCTCTCTCTCCCCCCCGCCCCCCCGGGCCTGGCCTTGCACGCCTGGACCCCGGATCTGCATGCCACTTTTCGACGAAAATCACGAGGAAAGATCACTCGGCCGGGATAGCCTTTCGGTTCATGTGCTTTGTTCAATGCGGCGGGAGCTGGCCCGGCGCCGATCCCCCGCCGGCTGCCGATCCCCCGGCTTGGGCGCCTCCCGAGGCGGACAGGGAGAAAGCACTCGCCTCGCTCACCGCACGGACAATGCGCGATCGCACAAGCGACGCCTGGTGGCTGTAGTCGGCAATGGCCTGGTCTAGTTTGCGTGAAAGTCTGGTGTTCTCGAAGCGGTACGTCTGCACCGAGCGCGGAGGGGCATTTAGTTAGCCAGGTGTTCGACAGAAGAAGCAGGGGGCGCAAATCAACACAATGTGTCAGGGGGGTGGACGGTGGCCCAGAGCAAGGCACAGGCACGGGCACGGGCACGGGCACGGGCACGGGCACGGCTGCGATCGTCGGACAGGCGCAGGCACGAGGCCGCCTCTTGCCCGAACGCACCATCAGCAGGAAGTCCTCCACGGTCAGGGCAAGGAGTTGATCTTCCGTGAAATCCGGCGGAAGGAGGGCTTCCAGGCCGGACAGGACATTGCCCGGCTCAACGTCGCCGGCTGGGTCATCTTCTGCGGGGGCCGAAATTTCCCCCTCCCCAGGGCTGGCGACTTCATGGCCGGCCCCACGGCCTTCGCCGATGCCAGCATCGGTGGGGTTTTTGTCGCCAGTGCTGCCATCAGCGTCCGCACGCATGCCCGGCGAGGCCGCGGCCGAGGACGTGGAGTCCTGCTCCACAGGGCGTGAAGCTGGGGGAAGGAGCACGCCAGTTTGATCATCCACCGGCACATGTTTCGCCGGGCACCCTGCCTCCGGAATGTCGGTCGCCGCCGGGACTGCCCGGTGGTCCGGCGTCAGCGGAGTTTGGCCCGACGTCGGGCCCTTCGGCAGTCGCTGGGGAGAGGCGCCCAGGCCCGGCCGCCCCGGAGGGAGGACCACTCCCAATGCCAGCACATTCAGCGGGTGTGCCGGGAACCGCGGCGATGGAGACTGCTGCTCGATGGGTGTCGATGCACCAGCTGGCGGATCCTCCCCGGCGGTGATCGGTCGCGGCCAGCCATCATCAGCATCAGCATCGGCATCACCATCGCCAGCACCGCGCCGAGGGGACTTGCCTCCCGGGGTCACTGGCTCCGATTCGGACGCCAACAGCAGCCCCTGTGTTAGCCGCCGCCGGAGCCAAGTGTCCGGGCTGGTTTCCAACCCACGGATGCCAGTCAATGAAGTGGCATGCGTCCATGGGTCGTGCCCGGTGGCTGCCGCCATGGCGGGGCCGATATTCTGAAAAAGCGGCGACTCCAGTGTGGCCAGGTCGTCGGGGGAGGCAGGCCGGGGCTGCCGCGGGGCCGAAGTCGGCTCGGCTGTTACTGGCGACCGGTGCCCAGCCGGCGCGGTCACCAACTGCAGCGAGCACGGCCGACCATCGGTGCCCGGAGATGCGGCCACCCGAAACCCAGGCACCGGGCTTGGGGTCGGAGGGGCCGGGCTTTGGGGAATGGGCGGCGTTGGGCTCGGAGAGGCCGGGTATGTCCGGGGTGTTGGGTGGGCGAAGGATACACAAGAGGCCCGGGCGCCATCCTCTGGTGCTTGGGCGATCCGGCTTAAGCTCGGCCGCATACTTGGACTGGTGGTTACCCGGTTCAAACTGCTTGCCGGAGAAACGCTCTCCTTCGGTTCGGCCAGCGCCAATGTCCCTTCGGGGCTCAGCTCGCCCGTCATCCGGCGTACCAGTTCGTCTTGATCGGAGATCGATTGGGTTCTCGACCTACACGAGAATGAAAGCTCCTGCTCGGGTCCGGAGGGCAGCTCCGACCCCATCTCCGGTCCTAGCACCAGTTGCGATTCAAGCCCTGGCACCGGCTCGACTTGCGTTTCTAGTTTGGGCGTGGATTGCTCGTTTGCAATACCAGTCTGCATCTCGGTGTCGCTGTCGGTGTTGGTCTCGGTCTGCATCTCGGCGTCGATCTCGGTCTGCATCTCGGTGTCGATCTCGATCTCAGCCTCCTGCTCGATTTGTTCCTTAGACATAACATGAGTCTCAATCTCATTAACGGCGACCCCAGGCTCAGTATCAAGCTTAATCTCGGACCCAGCGTCGGCAGCCTCAAGCTCGGTGTCTGCAGTCTCAAGCTCGGTGTCGGCAGTCTCAGGCTCGGTGTCGGCAGTCCCAAGCTCGGTGTCGGTAGCCTCAAGTTCAGTGTCGGCAGCCTCAGGTTCAGTATCGACAACCTCAGGCTCAGTATCGGACTTGGGCTCGGGCTTGATATCAGAATCGAGCCCACGAACCGGTCGATGCGTCATTATGGCTGCCGAGTCAGACAGTAGTGGCGACTCGGGGCCCGCCATTGGGCCCATCCTGGGAGACGTGTCCAAATCCCTGGTGCCACTGCCCCCGGAGGCAAGCGCCAGGCGAGGCGACTTGCGCGTTGACCGCGGTGGGGCTCCTTCCACATCCGGAGCAGCACGTTGGCGCTTTCCCGAGTTCAGGGGCGACACCACACCGACAGGGGAACGGGTCAAAGCATCTGTTGTTTGGGATGTCCGGCCGCTTGGTGATGTCGCCTCGGCGTGTGTCGCCGCCGACATCATCTCAAAAAGAGGGCTCGCCGGGCATGAGTGGACAAAGGGCGAGGCAGGGGAGAGGCGGCCATCCAATAGAGACCCCTGCGGCGGGTTGCCTGGTGAGGCTGCGGTGGCGGGCTTTGATGGTGCGGCCGCTGGCGATAGATACTCCGACTCGCGAGGAGCATCGGATTCGGCGGCCTGTGCATCGAGGGCGCGCAGATGCTCGCAATAGGCTGCCACATCTCGCCGAGAGTGCTCGCCACTTCGCAGACACGCACAGTCACACCGGCAATGTGTCAGCACGCGGGTGGGCGAAGGAGGTGGCGAAAAGCACGCCAAAGAAGAGGCCGCAGCCCCGATCAAACGCACATCGCCGTGTCAGTGGGCTCCCATCCGCCAAGGGAAACGGCGCAGCTGTAGCAGGATGCCTGGTCAGGTGTCACGCTGCGAGGCGAATAGAAAAATCCAGCTCGGGCCATCTTCGTCAGGGCAACAGGGGGGGGGGGGGGGGGGGGGGGAAAGAAAGGCAAGACAAGGTCCCGCGTAAGTGAAGCAGCCAAATTCCGCGAGAGAGATCTGCCCTGCTCTCCCCTGACTTTCCGCCACAGCCGGAGACCAGGGGCCATCCGTCGGCGTACTTCTTCCGGCGAAAGTGCCCCAGAGTGCGGCCAGTAGCTGGGAGGATACCGGTCAATTGGCAGCGTCAGTCGACCGCAAGTTGATACAGCCGCCGATGAGCTGTCCGCCACCTCGGGCAGCATGAAGGTATACACTCGACTCTCTTGCAAGTGCAGATTCAGAAGGGGACACGCGGGGTTCATATTCACGTGGGCCTGCCTGTCAATCCCAGGACGTCAGCAAGCATGCACACATGGCAGGCGCACAGGAGGTCAGAGGGTGGGCGAGGTGTGCATATGCAGTGGCCGAAGCCCATGACGTACCGCGGGTCCTCGGTCCGGTCCCAGTGGCCGCGGCCTTGCCGGCACACATAGCACTGGAGATAGTCCACCGGAATGCGTGACGGGTCGTTGAGCGGCCGACCGCGGTTGGCGAACTTCGGTGGCGGGATGTGAAACCAGCCCTCCTCGGCAAAGCGTTGCCTGATGATCGTACTCCGGGTGGTCCGCCAGGAGCTCAGCGTATCCAGGCGATGCTCAGAGGCAGCCAGTCGCGCCAGGGGCTTCGCATTGGGTCCCGGAGGGGTCAAGGTGGCACTCGACATGGTTCACAGGTGTCACCGGGACAGCATCCCACGCCGGCCGAAGAAAGATGCCCAGGGACAGGAGCGGATCTACAGGGGGGGGGGGGGGAACCCGTGTGCCAGGGCGTGCTCGTGCGTGTGTGCAGATGTATGCGTGCAGGGGCAGGTGTGGATTTGTGGACGGGATGGAAGAAAGAGCGAATTGGGCGAGGGGGGGGGGGGAGAGAGAGAGAGGAGCGGGAAACAAGCCGGGAGGAGGATCTGGGCTTTGAGCAGGCGCCGGAAATAGGTTCCCGCCCGGACGAGATCGTTCCGTCCCACCTCTCGCCCTCCCGTGGAGGACAGCCGAATTTCAAAAATCCGATCGGCGCCCAGATGCCAACGTATAAAGAAACCGCCAGGCACAGGCGTGACCCAATCACGCCGAATATTATTGGCGGAATGTCCCCCCGGAGGGGAGTCCTCTGGACAGCTTGCGGCCCACATTCACGCGCGCCCGGGGGACTGGGGCTTCCTGGG